ATCCAAAAATCACACCAGTGAGTGAAATGTAAAGTGTTTGCCATTCAGTTCTATTGCCTCGTAAAAAAAAAGAAAGTGAAATTTAAATTTGAAATTAAACTATACACTATATAAAAACAACTTCAGAGCCAAGAGACCAATAAAAATTATTAAATAATAGGAATCAAATAGGAAGCTTGGTTCAAACACAAAACATGTTCTTCCCTAAAAAACAATCAATATTTCAAATATTAAAAATTGCATATACTTCAGTATGCTAGACTGGAACCTCATTTAAGGTACAGTGGAAGCACAGTAAAGAAGTTAATGTAGCATTGTTATTCATCCTCATTTGCTGTAGATAGGCATCATACAAGGGGAACTGCAATGCAAACTGGTGTATGATGCTTTCAAATGTACCGTGTAAACTTACATCTTTGATAAGTAATGCATTCAACATGACGTCTGTGAGACCAGTGTCTTGTAACGATGACAACAAGGATGGTTCTTGAAATACATATACAGTCACTAGTTCACAGGCTGCCAAAACAAGGAGTAACCAATAAATAACCAGGACTATTAACAAATTGTTTCATTAATGAATATACACTTGGCAACAACAGATATCACACCTTAGCAGTCTACCAGCTGCTTTTGGTCGAGCATCTTTTCTAGTCAATGGATAGTTAAAAATTTGAGTACAGTAAAAGTGGTAAATTTTTTGTGCCTTTTTGCATATTGCGACCCTATTACCAAATCTGTGTATTGTTATTTTCGCAAACTTCCATTTTTTATCTACTGTAAATTATTCCAATGTATAAGCTGCACACCCTAATAAGGATGCGAAATATCACATTTTTGCGTCATCTGTGTATAAGCTGCTCCAATTTTTAAGCTCAAAACCATTCCTAAAATGTTTTTTAATTATTTTGAAACATTGACATTATTTAAAAATGTTTATTAAAGATATTTTAACTTATCGGCCCAATTATTAAACAGGAAATGTGTGTAAACTTCTGGCTAACTAGCTGCTATGAAACAACATATTACTCTAGCTAGGGAAATCCCAGTTCTCACTAGACGGTTGTGCTGTATTAAATTTTGAACAATAAGTTTAGTTTAAGTTTATTAAAAACTAATACAATAAAATACTTTGTGAGTATATTTATCAATTATTCAATCATTCTATTATTTTAGTGACTAATAACAGTCGGTATTGAGCTAAAAATGAGTAATTACTACTCACGGCCAACTGTGCAAAGCATGCAACATCACGCACCACGTTTTGCAAACAAACTGAGAAATACCGTGCGATACAATATTTACGCCTTGGGCATATGTGTGACTTTTTACTGTTAAATTCCAGTCAAAAAAGTATTACAAGAAAATTCATGTTTTTATAGCACAGTTTAATTTCACAAGTTTGCATTCTAAAATCATACCACTGCATAACACTATACATTCTTTCTACAACGGTACTAGCCACAGGGAACCAGAGGTTGTACAGCAAGTTTCAACTAGTTCACCACCAACCACGTGTGTTTTATTGCAATGTTCATGAAGCTGCTTACGTGACCTCGAGGACCAAAAAATCATTTGTTACTGTTTTGAGCGAAGTGGGTTCAAACAGAAACGTGTTTCAAACACTGTTTATGACATTGACAGGCACCGCCGATTTTTGCTACGGAGGAGTAGGTTGATGACAGGTGTATAGGCCGCACCACAAATTTAGGAGTTGAAATCGTGTAAAAAATTTGCGGCTTATACAACGGAATATACAGTACATAAAAAATATGCCAGGTCTAGCCAGTGTGCTTTTCTAGCCTAATGAAAGTTTGGCCATGTGATATGCACAAGTTAAAATGTCCCTCCGGCCTAGCCCTACCTATGGCCTAGGATTCCTATGAAGACTTAGGCTTAGCCATGGTGTTGTTTACAGTACGTTGAAGTGTTTTTTTCGCACATATAATTTTCATGCGAATATATTTTTGCAATGTTTTTATTTCAAAGGAGCTCCTTTTCCTACGTGAAAAGTGCAAAAATTACCATTTTTACAGTACGTCAATTTCTAATTGATTGTTGTAAGATTAGCTTTAAATATTGTCTGAACATGGACATACATTTGTTTGATTCCTGAAGATTTACATTTTTTTCTGCCCCAAGTATATGTGTATATTAATGGCTATAACATGAATATTTCCAAATTGTTTTGTCAAGACAAGTTCCTTACCAAGTAAAAACAGAGATGGTCCATAATACTCAGCATTGCTAATGATATGTTTCAAGGAGGATGGCAATGTTCCATCCATAACTAAAATAAATAGAAAACTCAGAAAATTAAAGAAATATTGTAATTTGTATACAAAAAATTAATTAAAAAAAAAAACCATAAGCTTTGAGGTGTGAATCTTAATAATACTATTAAGTTTTATAAACATCAATTTCATATACAGTAGAACCTCGATTTTACGTACGGTACAGGACCGGAGGGCGTACGTAAATCGGGGGATTCGTAAAATAGAGGCTAGGTTAAATGTGTGGTAACCTTTGACCTAATACGTACTTAACGCTCAATATACGTATGTTACCTAGCTAGGCCAGACCTAGCCTATAGGCCTACGAATAAAATCATGTGTTTAGTGTTTTTATTCATCATTTTACGGTGTCATAATAAAGTGTTCAAATAAAACCATGTGCCTAGTGTATTAATTCATCACTTTATAACTTTTATTTTTAAACTAAAATAAAGAACATGAAAATATTGTAAGATTACCAATACGAAAAGGTATAACTTGGGAATTCCCCTTCAAGCCTATTCTAACAACAGAGCTGTGGTGCTGTCTGGGCCTGTTAAGACAAACTAAAACCATGTGCGCTGCACTGGGCGAGCCAAACAATTAGCGTTCGTGTACGTGAAACAGCAAAAC